AGAAGGAAGTGCAGGAGGGTTGCTGTGTATTTGGAGGCCACAAGTGTTTGAGCTTAAAGACTGCTGCAGTAGTAAGCACTTCATTCTACTCTCAGGTACCTTGGCTTAACATTTTGATTGTGTGATTGTTAATATATATTTGTAGTTTACATATCGAGACTTAAACATTCAAGAAACATAACATAAGAGAAGCAAACCAATTCAGAGCACATTAACACAAATGTCCAGAATTTCATATTTGAACCAGTTAGAAAATAATTATGGAAAAAATACTTTTTTCATCCCTAAGTACCTGGCCTCATGTGAGTTTGTAGATAAATGACTCTAGTTTTAAACTCAATTTACAAAAGTAGGATAGGTATTTTAGATTTTACGATAATTTAGAATTATCAAGATTTATCCAGATTCGTTGACTATTACACAAATCGATTTTTCTCTCAAACCTCTCACTCTCTTGAGTTCAAACAAAATTTAGTTGGAATATAACACAAAGATTAAGATTTTGACATAAAAGTGAACTCACGATTATTTTTTTGAAATTTTCTAAAAATAGAAAAAGTTGACTGTTTTTCTAATTATGTGAGTAACAAACTTAGAAAAATTGTTTAGGTTATAAAAATACATCCTTAGGTCCTACCAAAAGTATCACATACTCTAGACATACCAAATATTACTCCATAAGAATAGATTTTGAGTTTGTGGAACTTTGATCAGAAAATAAATTCAAGAGAAGTGAAAGAATTGCTGCTGGAAATTTAAAAAAGAAAGAGAAGCACACCATTTCTTGATTAATACACATTTATACAAGAGTGTAGGCCTAGACTACAACATATATATACAAATAGCATGTATTAGGAGAGGAAAAATAAGTGGTAAAAGAACTTGAGAGAAAAGGTAATGTAGGTTTGCTTTTGTTGTACAAGACTCAACGTAATTCTTCTTTTTTTTCTTTTCTCTTCTCTCTCTCTCTCTCTCTCTCTCTCTTTCCAAGATCACTCTCTCTCACTCCTCTAATGCATGTCTGAAAATGTATAAAATGAGAGGGAGAAGTGTGCATATATATAGAGAAAGCATTTGAAGGTTTCTTAGGGACTAAGTTTTATATGTGCAAATTTATCAAAGTTGTCCATCAAAGACATCAAGGCCATTTCATCCATCACATGACCAACTACTTGGGCTCCAAGAAATATATATATATATATGTATGGGAGATATTGACACAATTACATTAATTAATAAAATATTACAATTAAGATTTGGAATAACATAAAATAGAAGTATATAGGACCAAGTCTAAATTCGGGTCCGTTAAATTAAAGCGCAAAGAAAGGCAAGAAACCGAGTGAAAACGGTGTTACCAGGAATTAAGATTTTAAAGTGATTAATCTATAATTATAAGATCTAATAATTAATACTAAGGTTTTCAAGGTGATTATTAACCTACCGAGATCAATTAGGATTTACTCGGATTAATCCGCGATTCTTTCTGATTCTAGGATTTAAAACTCCATTAAGTGAATATTCAAGGGTTTTATTAAAAGAAACTCAAGGTTAGAGATTTAAAGATAATTACAAAAATTAGGGTCTCTACATCACTATCACCCCATAGGAACCCACTTTGAATCTTAGTTATCTCCTTTGCCACACACAGAGAAATTAAAAATTGACAGATAATAAATTGGTAAGGCACTAAGGACAGATTTGATCAAAGTGAGTCTTCTTCCAAAGGACAAAAACCTCTTCTTTCATGAAGCCAGCTTCATCTTAATTTTCTATACAACCGGTTGCCATGTTTTCTTCAATTAGTATTAGCACCTAGATGAAGACCCAAATATTTCATCGAAAATTTCTAAGTTTTCATATCAAATTGACAAATGTCAATTTGTCATTCAAGACTTTAAAAAAATTTGGCATGCTAAATTTTAAAAGTTTGAGTGGAGATAGTTCTTAGGGTTCAAATAATATATGAAATTCTTTTTTGTTTTTTACCATGAATCCAACACAACAAGGTATGGATTTGGGACAACCATTCATCAATAGGCACATGAACCACTGTCTATAAAAAAAGTGATATACACTGATCTTTTCAGTGTAAGGGCTTTGACTTTTATACTTCATGTTGGACCCAAACATGATCTGTTTTAACCTATCATAAATTTTCTGCAATGTAAATTGCTATCGAAATTACTGGCTTTGGTCCAGTCTATCATCGAACTGGATCCTGCACCCATATATCTAGAGATCCACGATATTATTTTGTGATGTCTAAGGTCCCTAAATCCTGCACCCATATATCTAGAGAAATTCCAGTCTCTCGTTTTCTCCTTCTACACACATGAACACATTTCTAAGCTTTTCGACACAATGCGAACATGTATAAACGAGGATTATAGGATATTAACAAATTTTAATATATACTTTCTACATTATCTCCATGTGTCTGTATGTATATACACGAGCTGGGTTGTACCACTTCATTGCCAAGTCCACCGTCGAAGAGACGTCGCGCAGAGAGATCTCTGTTTGCTCAAATCCAAGCAGAGAAGGTTATTACCAGCAAGGTATGGTCGATCGAAGCCGTCCTTTCTGCATCATGTCTGACCAGAGGTATGACTTTCTGCAGGCGCGGTACGGCGTTCTAGTGGCTGCCCTTTGCTTGTATATAGTTTGGTGAAGATGTCAAGGCATTCATTGGCCATGTATATGTATATATATATAATGTAATGTAAAGGCTTCATTGCATTTTTTCCCCTCTGTATTTATCTTTTTGATGTATACAAAGCTGCCCATGATGTTAAGTAGAGAAATTTCCCTCTATCTCTGGCATCCCAATCACAGAAAATGGAATTTCTCTGGGTTGGGGAAGAAGAATTTCTCTGGTTTGGGTTGGAGATGGAGAATTTCTCTGGATTGAGTTTATTTCAAATTTCAAATCTTTATAGCTTCTTCACTCAAACCCAGAGAAAAATAAACTCTATTCACTAGTCTTAAAGGGAGAGAATGGAGTACTTTGTTTCTTCAGGTGATAAAGAAAAGACAATTGACCAAAAGAAGAAAATCCCAGTTACTTGGCATTTCGGTTTCTGGGTATGCAAATCAAAAGAACCCTCTAACTTGGGGGGTTTAATTTGTCTTTTTTTTGTATGTTTATTTGAGATAAAAACATGGGATAAAAGAAAGAAACAGAGAAATTCAAAGCGTAACGAACAGAGAGGGACAACACTGATGCGTGAAAGTAATACTAGGAGAGTCTGATATGTTTTTTAGAACAAGACAATGAAGGAGACAAAGAAAAAGAGAGAGAGAGTGGGGGGGGATGGTTGAGAACTACACTTTCAAGAAAGGTATCTAATCCTTTCTCAATCAATGCATTCATAAAGAACACATTAGGCTATCTTATGGTTTCAATACTCCTCTCCTATTTTCTATTTTTTTTCTTGTTTTTTCTCTTTCTGTTTTAAACTGTTAAACTATTTATCTTTTAATCAGCTTTTGACTTCTTAGTTGCATCAACAACAATCATTTTGGCAGGTATTTCTCTAGGTTCATTTTGACCAATTTTCTCTGGATTTTCAAATTTCTCTAGATTCATTTTGACCAATTGAAGGCTAGTGAAGTTAGAGAAATTTTCAAATTTCTCTGGAGTGTTGAGTCCAAGAGAGGTAAGGAGGGCAGAGAAATTTCAAATTTCTCTAGAGATGTAATTTTGTGGAAAAACAGAGAAATTTCTCTGGAAGAGTGGGAAGTATATGGAAGGCAGAGAAATTTGGAGAAATGGAGGGCAGAGAAATTTATAGTGGAAAGTTTAGGGAAGGTCAGAGAAATTTTATTTTCTCTAGATGAACTTGAGGGACCTTAGACATTATTAAAATATTGAATGTCCTTTATGCTATAAAATCTTAATACTAGGGACCTTAAAAAAAAATCCTCCCACTTTTAATAATGAAAGAGATCCACAATGTTATTTTATGATGTCTAAGGTCCTTCAACCCCAAACCCATATATCACAGAGAAATTTAAGAAGAAACGAAAGGCTTCAAAAACTAAGTTTGGTCCCTCTCTCTCTCTTTCTCTCTCTCTCTCTCTCCTACATCAATGGGAGCTGGGTTGGTATCTAACAGCGATTTCTTTGCTGCAAAGTCTTCGGCCGTTAACTAGCCGTGTTGCCTCTGTTTATAGCGAGGTTCAAGGTCGTCCATGGCCTCCTAGATTCACCGGCGATGACCCCAACTCTTTCGTCTGCTCCGTCTACTTCACCGCCACTGCTTCTATCTCCTCTCACCTCACCAAACCTCCCTTTACTTCCATCATCAAGCCCTTTGTTGAATCTCTTTTTACTGAACAAGATCACAGTTCACAAAGCTTCACAACATGGAAAACCATGCTTTCATGGTGGGAAAGAAGCTCTGGGTATGATAACCCAATACTAAGGCGGAGTGCAAATTTCTTCAGTTATCTCTACTACTTTCTTTCTTTTTGTGTGTGTGTGTGTGTAGTTTGCTACCTATAGATAAACTTGGAAATTGTCCAAGTGATAAGAATGAGGAGAAGGAAAAGGAGATGAAGCAGGAGTTTGGCCAAACTTGTGACTGGATCAAGAAAATGTGGGGTGACAAAGTTGCCAGTGTTCAAATCTCAAATCGTCTGAGCACGTCACCTTGTGTTCTTGTGTCTGGGAAGTTTGGTTGGTCTACAAATATGGAGAGGTGAAGTGGATTATTCATGCTTCATAGGTGTTATAGTTTTAACAGTTCTTTTGACATTCTTGACGCAGAATTGAATTCCTTGCAGGCTGATGAAGGCCCAAACAGTTGGTGGCCTGGAATTCATGAGAGGAAGAAGGGTGTTTAAGATCAATCCTCAACACCCAATCATTAACACCTTAAATGTATGACGATTTGGTCAATAATTAGAAAATTCCCATTTTCATTCTGCGTTGTACCAATATAACCCCAGCTAATTGCAAGCTTTTTTTTTTTTTCACTTTCTATTTGTGAATGATGGAGGCTGCATTCAAGAGTGACCCAAATGATGAAGAAACTTTGAGAGCTATTGATCTTTTGTATGACACAGCTTTAATTTCTAGTGGTTTCACTGTAAGTGACTTGTTCTGTATCTTTTACATTATATGTCTACATCAGATTGGCATTCAGTAGTTATGAATTTAGTGGGAACAGCCCTTTCGGGAATTTCTCTGGAAAAGGCCAGAGAAATTTCCATAATTTGCTTGACACCAAGAGTGAAGGCAAGCAAAGCATGTTGCTCAGGCGTCTGACCATCCTTGGAAATACCGGTTTCAAAACTACCAGTGGTGGAGTTGATGAAATCACAATGGCCAGGAGCATCAATGACAATGCAGTAGTATTTTGTGGTCTCAAAATTCCACAAAGCAATTTCAATATACACTGAGAAAATTGTGAACAAATCATAGAGATATTTGTGAGCAAATTAAAGAAAATTCAATCCCAGAGAAATTTCAAAGCAAAGAAAACAAAAAAATTGAACAAACCAGAGAAATGGTTTGAAATTTCTCTAGATGGAAATTTCTCTGGGTTGACTGCAGCGGAGGCGTTGGTGAAGTTGGCATTGATAGAGAGAGATTTATTGATGGAGTTTAAGGTGTCTTGTTTGAAGGCAGTTGATGTTAGAAATTTTGATAAGGTTTGAATTCATTTTGAGTTTTTAGATTATGGATTTGGTTACTTGAAATTGTGGATTGAAATTGAATGTGGAAGTGCAGGAGGGTTGCTATGTATTTGGAGGCCACAAGTGTTTGAGCTAAAAGACTGCTGCAGCAGTAAGCACTTCATTCTACTCTCAAGTACCTTGGCTCAACATTTTGATTATGTGATTGTTAATATATATGCTCCAAATGAGGTGTTGGGGAGAAAGAAGCTATGGGATTCCCTTGTGTGCTTACAACCCCATTTTCCAAATCCATGGTGTGTGGGTGGTGATTTTAACAAAATCAGATTATTGAGTGAGAGGAAAGGGTGTTCAAGAAGAGAGAGGGGGATGAAGGAGTTCAATGAGTTTGTGGAACAGTTGGAGTTGTCTGATTTGCCTATGTTAGGCAGAAAATTTACTTGGTGTAATGCATTGGAAGGGGATAGGTGGAGTAGGATAGATCGTTTTTTATTAGACTCCCTTTGGATGGAAATTTTTTCATTTAATCAATGGGGATTACCTAGAACAATTTCAGACCATTCTCCAATTTTGTTGAAGGAATATGATGGGGATTGGGGTCCTAAGCCATTCAAATTCATTAATGCTTGGACATCATATCCTACATTCTTGACTGAAATCAAGCACATTTGGGAGGTCACACAGGTTTCAGGATGGGCAGGGTATAGATTAATGAGGAAGCTATCCTCCTTACGGGGTCACTTAAGGGTGTGGAATAGGGAGGTGTTTGGTAATATTGATACTATGTTGAGGTCAGTAGAACAAGAACTACATGAATGGGATTTGAAGGCAGAAATTAGATCTCTGGATGTGCTGGAAACAATAAGAAGGAGAGAGGTTAGAAGTCAGGTATGGAAGCTTAGTAGGGATAAGGAAAGAATATGGCATCAAAAGTCTAGATTGTTGTGGGCTAGGTGTGGTGTCAGAAATACTAGATTTTTCCATCTTATGGCAAGTAGTAGGCAGAGAGTGAACTTGATAGATTCTGTGACAGTGGAGGAAGTGAGACATGAGGATCCAACTCAGGTGAAACAAGCAGTGCTTAGTCATTTCAGAAACCATTTTGTTCAAAGTTGGACTTCTAGGCCACAAATTTCTGGACCTTTTGTTACAATTTCTCTGGAGGTGGCAGTGGGTTTAGAAGCAATGTTTACTGAAGAAGAGATCTGAGCAGCTATTCAGGATTGTGATGGAAACAAGGCTCTTGGCCCAGATGGTTTTAACTTAGCTTGCATTAAAAAATGTTGGGGAATAATGAAAGGTGATATATTGCAGATGATGTATGAGTTTCACATAAATGGGAAGCTGGCAAGGGTTGTTAACAGTTCTTTCATGGTGCTCATATCCAAGAAGGACAATCCCATAGGCTTGGGGAACTATAGACCCATCAGCTTGGTTACCTCAGTGTATAAGATTTTGGCCAAGGTGCTATCTAGAAGATTAAAGAAGGCCCTTCCCTCTGTGATAGATGAAGTGCAGTCAACTTTTGTCAGTGGTAGATATATCTTAGATGGGGTGTTAATAGCAAATGAAGTTGTGGATTGGTGGAAAAAGTCTAAGAAGAAAGGCATTATCTTAAAATTGGATTTTGAGAAAGCCTATGATTCAATAAATTGGGAATTCTTGTTGGCAATGATGAGAAATTTTGGATTTTGTGTCAAATGGATTAGGTGGATGAAAGCTTGTATCTCTACAACTATAGTGCCAGTTCTTGTCAATTGTGCACCTACAGAGGAGTTCCAGCCACAAAAGGGGTTAAGGCAAGGGGATCCCCTTTCTCCATTCTTGTTCATTATTGCTGCAAAAGGGCTTAATTTGCTACTTGCTAGGACTAAAGTACTGGGTCTATGTAGGGGTGCTACTGTTGGTTCCAATGATGTGAGTGTTTCACATCTCCAATTTGCTGATGATACTATTATATTCTGTGAAGGGGATATTGAGGATATTTCGAATATTAAGAGGGTGTTGAGGTGTTTTGAAGTGATGTCTGGGTTAAGAATTAATTATCATAAAAGTGTAGTGTGTGGTGTGGGCTTCCAAGAAGATCAATCTAAGGAGTTTGCTAGGGTTTTGAATTGCTTAACTAAGAAATTACGCTTTTCTTTCCTTGGTCTCCCTTTATGGGCTAATCCTAAGAAACAAAGTACTTGGGACCCAGTTGTGCAGAAGGTCAAGAAAAAGTTGACCTCTTGGAAGAGGAAGCTTCTTTCCTATGCTGGGAGATTGACCTTGATCAAGTCAGTCCTTGCTAATTTGCCAATCTATTTTCTTTCTCTCTTTAGAATGCCTAAGGGTGTCAAGTTAAAGTCATCTTTTTTGTGGGGAGAGAATGTTAATAAAAGAAAAGTGCACTTGGTCAAATGGAAGGAGATCACAAGAAGTAAAAGTCAAGGAGGTTTGGGTGTGAGAGACTTAGAAGAGGTGAATGAATGCTTGCTATTGAAGTGGTGGTGGAGGTATGGTAATAAAGATTCAGCTTTGTGGAAAACTGTGGTTTGTTCAAGGTATGGTAGAAATGGAGGAGGTTGGCTTCCAGATCTGAACTCTTCAGGTGGGATGTCCATAGTCTGGTTGGACATTGTGAAATTGCTCTCAGAAAATCAGCAATTGGGGGATTTCTATGGTGAGCATTTTAGAATTAAGGTTGGAAATGGAAAGAGAATCTTGTTTTGGCAGGATAAATGGCTTAACAATAGTGACCTGAAGATTCAATTCCCTAGGCTTTATAGTCTATCCACTGAGAAAGAGGAGACCCTTCAGCAAATCAGTGCTAAGAAGAGTAATATGGGGCAGTGGCAGCTTAAATTTAGAAGTCAGTTATTTGTATGAGAAGTTGAGGAGCTGCAGAGATTGATGGAGTTGTTGGATACATCTACAGTGCTGAGGTTTGATTGTGTTGACTTTTCCTTTTGGTTAGCAAATAGTTCAGGCCTTTTTTCTGTCTCTTTGGTGAGAAGATGGTGGGATGCCCAAATAGGGACTGGTCAGGTTGTGCCTAAAGGGGTATGGGTTGGTTTAGCTCCGCCAAAAATGCAGTTCTTTTGTTGGTTGGCTTGGAGAGGCAGAATAAACACTGCAACTTTCCTTCAGAGGATTAGGGTGCTACCTATTTCAGCAAATAATATGTGTGTGTTTTGCCAAGCTGAGGTGGAATCCTTGAATCATGTGCTTATGTTTTGTCCACTGGTGTGGAAATGTTGGTCTCAAATGATAAGTTGGAGGGGTCAGGTTTGGGCAATCCCTGGATCAGTTCAGGACTTGTTACAGTGGTGGTCTGCTGGTAAGAGTAAGCATTGGGTCTCTAGATTATGGGAGATAGTTCCAGCTGTTATGTTATGGTCAGTTTGGAGATTGTGAAATGAATGTATGTTCAAAGGGCTACAACCCATTTTTGATGATTTTTGTGATAAAGTGAAGGTACAAGTTGCTCTGTGGGTAAAATGGAGTTTGGAGGTTGAATATTCAGTTGATGATATTGTTTGTCATTTCAATCAGATCAGGTTGTCTGTTCAAACCGTTTGCAATTCTTCTTCAGGTCCTCTGCTGTAGGGTGCCTGATTCAGCTACTTCAATGTGTGAATGGTCTGGTTTGGTCTGGTCTGGACTGGTCTGGTTTGATTCTGCTTCAGGTCCTCTGTTATGCTGATTGTTGTTACTGCTTTGATTCTGCTTTGGTGAAAGTCTGTTGCTAGGTTGCTCTTCTGCTGCTCTGCATCTGATATGGTCTACTGATCTGTGGATGCTTCAATGAGATGAAGGTCAATGTGTTAGGTGGTTATTTAGGCTGTATACTGATCTGCACTGCTGCTCCAATTTCTACTATTGGTTTAGCTTGGTTCTAATCAGTTTTGGTTATTGGAGTCTTCATTCAGGAAATATGCTACAGAGGGTAGAGGTGTAGTCATTTGGATGCAGGGGAGCTGTGCCAAGTGTTGTGTAGTTTGGGGTCTTGATGACTTCTTTCAGTGAGGACTGCAATTGGTTTTTTGGGTGGTTTGCTGCTAGGTAGTTCCTTTCTGGTCTATATCTGAGTTAGTTTGCTGCTAGTGGCTGATTTGCATCTAGTTGGTCTATTTTAGTAGCTAGGAGGTTGGAGCATGTCTATCTGCTGCTGATTTTGGAAATCAATTATGAAGTGTCGAAATTGATCCGTTGTTGTTTGTCTATCTGTTGCTGCTATTGCCTATCTGTCATTTAGGTGTTGCTTATGCTTTGTTTTGTGTTGTTGGTTTCTCACCAACTTGGAGGTTAGAGCTTTTTCCAATTCCAAGCTCTTCTTTATTGATGTTTTGCCTTTCATATGTAATTTATATGTGGTTCATCAATAAAGACTTCTTTTGCCGATCAAAAAAAAAAATTGTAAAATTTATGTGTTTTGTCCCTTGAGTTAGGAGATGACTTTAGACTTGATTTGTGAATGCTAGGATGTGCTTATGCACCAATTAAGAAACTTAAAGATTTTAGACTATTGTGCTTCTCATTTTGATGTTATGTGAAATTTTGCTAGTCGGAATTAATGTTAATTATGATCAATTAGTCTTAATTACGATTAAGTTAAACCTAGATTAATTAGTACAAACATTGGTTAATTAGACTAAGTAAGCAAATTTGACAAATTAAGCAAGGACATAGGTGAAGCATACGCCTCCTTACTTTTCTTTTCTTTTTTTTTTTGGGGGGGCGTTCTATTTAACCTTTTGTTTTATTTGTTAGATAAAACCAAGTAGGAAGAAGAAAATCTACTGTAGCAAACAAAAACTAGAACAAAAAAAAAAAAAAAAAGACGGAAGAAAAAGAGAGAAAAGGAAACCCTATGGAAAACTTAGCTCAAATCCATCCTAGAATGTGTTCTAAGGTAAGATTTGATTCAAATTCTTGTAGTAAACCTCCCTACTTTTAAGATTGAAAAGAAGTTAGAATTAATTTGAGTTAGAGATGAAGAAATAAAGAAAAGAATGAAGATAAGAGAAATAAGTTGAAGAAGAAATTAGATGGTTTAAATTCTTATTGTTATGATCATGTTCTTGATGTTCTTACTTCAAAACAAGTTTTGTTCTCATTGTTTCAATAAGTTTCAAGAGTTTTACAAGTTGAATGCATGTTTTGGAGTGAAAAAGAAGAGTTTGAATAAAAACTAGAATTGAGGAATTCTTTCACAAATTTTGAGTTTTAACCTTTGAATCTTGAAAACAACCATGTATTGATCTTGCAACATTGAAAATAACTTTGTTTCTATGTTTTTCCTCAAAGTTTTAAGTGTTTTTCAAGGTCCTAAATCATAGAGAAGAAAAGAGGAAGCTTGAAATAAGAAAGAATTTTCGAACAGCCTGAAGCAGCCATCTCCGCACATGTAGAAGTGACTCCTACACGTGCGGCCCAACCCTTTAGAACCCGTTTTTCATTCTAAAATAACCACATGTGCGGCCCATGAACCCCGCAAGTGCGACATCCCTGCTCCTAGCCCATTTCATGTTTTTCAAGCCTTGTTTGCTTAGGACCCACTAATGCTTGCATTTGACACTTGATATATATTTGTTTGAGACTCTAATTAAACCTAGTGTAGCACTCCATATTTCTTGGTATAATGTAATTATATTTGACTCTTTGATAATTATAATTAAGAACCTTCCCAATCAATATTTGAGCCTTGGTTAAGGCGTTACCATAATGGTTGGGCGAGATTGGATCAAAAACTTCAAATTTGAATAATTGTTCTTGAGTAGTCTTCACTCTTTTATTATGTTCTCTCTCTACACTTTAAATCTCAATTTGAGGCTAGAACCATTAGAAAACTTATTTCAGAGGCTTCGATTTAGACATAAGAACGACCCAAAACAGAGTTCGAACGAAAGAGTTATGGCTATTTGAAATTTGGGTACCTGAGCTGTGTGTATAGTGCGCTCAAGCGAACTTTTTACTGCTTGAGTGGTCAGTTTGAGATTCAGAGATTCTAAGACCTTAATTTCAGCCCTCGAACCAACTTTTGACCACTTGAGTGGTCTATTCGAAATCAGCCACTTTAAAAGTCACTTTTGGCCCACTTTTCCTCACTTTTCCAAATCTTTATCTCTTCTCTATCTCTTTCTGCCATTTTTGAGCTTCCAAGCTCTTTAACCCTTGATTTCATCTATTTGTAAACATCTTTGACCCCTAGTTCTATACACTAAAAT